TCCCATAGAAATAGAAACTACTAACCAACCCCCTTAGAAAATTTCCTATTTTGCCCATTAATTTCTATAAGGAAGAAAAGACAAAAATAACCCTACACATAAAATCTGAAAATAGCAAAAAAAAAGAAGAAAAAGCATTGCATCAATTATTGTAGTAACTTGGATTATTATAGCTATGGCATTGGTAATATGCTAAGGTGTATGATAACGGATTGAGCGGCCATTGGTTGTATACTAATTTTATCATATATTATCAGTGTATCAAAAAGCGCTACGCGGGTCCTAGGCGGCCTAGGGGGTCAAGGCCGCCTAGCGCCTAGGCGGGCGCCCAGAACCTGGGCAGCTGCCCAATTGAAAAACAATAAAAATCCCAATATACCATATTCCAACAATCCAACTAGAAAAAAAAAAAAAAAAAAAATAAGTAGTCAACAAGAGAATTTTGATAATCTATATTGTTAAAACAGTAAACTGTAGAACCATACAAGTGATATAAAAGTCAACACCCAACACAATAGAAATATACAGAAATTTAGAAAATATACAGTCTAACAAAAGTCAACACTCACGACTCAACACAAGTTATGCAACAGCAACATACTCAACACAACAGTCAACAGACTCAACACTCGACACTCAGCACTAAGAGGTAAGAGTCTTCAATCATCATCATCATCAGAAGGAATATCAATAGCGCAAGCTTCATCATATGCATCAGAGTCATCTCCCTCTTCAATATAACGCTCATCCTCCTCTATTTCTTTTGAATCTGCCTCTTCCTCTTCCTCTTCTTCGACTTTCCTCTTATTAGTATGTGTAGTCTGTGCAGATGAGGCCCTAGTAGTCTTGGCTGCTGTACCCTTCTTTTTGTGCTTCTCTGAACTCAAATATTATATAATTTCCTCCTTGGTAGCCTCAATAACATTTTTACACGGGGCAACATCCCCCGTAATATCGGCAAGGTGTTTTTTAAATCGGTAAATGCCCCCATTAGTATCCTTTCTACAATAATTACATTTAATACGATTTTTATCACTTGGATTCGGGATATAACCATACTTCCAACCCGGATCACCACTCCGACAACTAGAAGCTGGAGAAGATACTTCCATAGAACAAGGCTTATGTTTATCTTTTTTTGGTTCTTCAAAATTCAAAAGATGTCTAATCTCATCTCGAACTGATTCAGGAACCTTTGTACAAGAAGCAACATTTCCTCTAACACCAGCAAGGTGTTTTTTTAATCGGCTAATACCTCCATTGGTATCTTTTTCACAAAAATTACACCTTATACTATTTTTATCATTTGGTTTTGGGTTATATCCATGCTTCCAACCTGGATCACTTTTCTAGGAGTAGCAGAAATAGATCTCTGACAAGGATTTTGTTCTTGTTTTGTTTTACATAACTTAAAAATTGCTTAATCTTTTCTCTTACAGCTTCAGGAACATTTTTACAAGGGGCAACATCCTCTTTAATACCGGCAAGATGTTTCTTAAACCGGTTTATGCCTCATTTTGTATCTTTTTCACAAAAATTGCATCTAACACAATTTTTGTCATTTGTATTCAGGTTGTATCCATATTTCCAACCATGATGTCCACTCTGACTAACTTCTGAAGAAGACATCTCTAAATAAAGCAAGCAATCTAAAAAATGCGCAAGCAATCTTAAAAATGCACTTATTTTGGTTGCTTGAACTCCAAACTTTGAGAAACACTTCGATGATTCGATGATCGATCCAATGAAATGTAGTTTTTGGAGTTTGCTTTTAGTCTAAAGGGGCTTCTTGTGGGTTTAGGGTTCAAATGAATCTGAAAGCCATCATTCTTAACCTTTAAATCTTTTAAAATAACAAAACGGAAAAAAAAATCATTTTTTGCGCCTCTGGGCGTGACGCAAGCCTTGGGCGGCCGCCTAGGCACGTTCCGTGCTGCCTAGGCGGCCGCCCAGGGACCGACCACCCAGTTTTACCGCCTAGGCCTGGGTGATGCGCCCAGGCCTTCTGGACTGCCTTGGCACTGGCCGGTCCACTTTTTGAAACTATGTATATTATTAATTTTTCTCGTTTTATGTATAGTGTAACTTAGACCTGACTAAGTCAAAACCTCGATCCCAGCGACATAGGATCTTGCTACTAGGTATGTTAGGATATAGTTCTTTAACTTGTTGAATGTGCAGGCGCCGATCGTAACCAAAGGAGCTTGCACCCTATGGCGGTTCAGCGTTCCACGAACCAATCCCGATCCTGCCTTCAACAACTATGGTACTCATCTTTTGTAGTTTTTGGAAAGCCCCAATTTCATCATGTGCCAAACAAGGCATGGGGTCCAAGGAGTATGAAAGCCCAATCCCTCAGCTACTTCGGCCACTATAACATTAGGGTGCAAGGCCAGTGATACTGTTTTGAAGCATATTCAGGCCTAGACGATGCACCTTGGGCCTAGCCAATGATCCTTCCAAAAATGTGTATTTTCCTTCCATCACCCGCTTGCGTTCTCCTGTTGGTCATAAAATTTTGACGACAATTATTTACACCATTCTATGTCCCTAACAGTGTACCCTTTGTCCAAATGATTTAACAAATCTCCCAGTTTTGTTTGTACCGTATTTGCTGGTCACCATCTTTCACAAAAGCATCTTTTGGGTTCCATATCTCCACCACCAATTTTGGTAATAGAGCCACATTTGCCAACTCAAAGTTTCTGAACTCTAGGACTCATTTGCTCTTTGTCCAAGCCACCAAACTAAACCTATGCTTGTCCTCTGAGCCACCCGTAAAAACCTTCTCAAAAATCTCTCAGTTTCCTTTTGCCACTGAGATGGGAAGTGGGAAGAGAGAGATGAAATTAATTGGAAGTTCGGACAATGTAGACCTGAGAAGAGTGATTCTTCCTCCCAGTGACAGGTTCTGTGTCTTCCTTGGAGATCCAGTTTCCTTTTGAATGTTTCCAAAACTCCATCCTAACTACTCTTTGGTGGTTTCCCTAGGAAATGTTGCATGCCTAGGTACTTATGTGGCAGTTACCTACCTACCAATCAACACACATAGCAAGGTCCACTAGCACGCAGTCGGAAACCAGAATGGCTAGCAACTTTGATTTTGTGATTTTGACCCTAATGCTTGGTACCTCGAATTGCGAAAGGAAGCTTGTACTGTTCATTTGTGCTTTATTAGTGTTGCAAAAAATTAGTGTCATTGGGTCTTGCAAATGTGATGATGTAGGGCCTCTTAGAGACACCATGAACTCTAATAGCAGACCTGCAATGAGCTTAAAAGCTTCTGCCGCTCTTGAAAATAGAAAGGGGGGCATGGTGTCCCCTTTCCTCAGCCCCCTTGAGCTTGGTAAGTATCCTCGAGGGGATCCATTCATCAATATTGAAAAGTGGCTGAGGACAAGCAACCTGAAACCCTCTTTCCCACAACTTTTGAAACCCCATTAATTTCATAATATTATCTAAGAAAACCCAATCCACCTGATCATAGACCTCTCATTGATCCAAATGACAGATTGCTCTTGGCCGTTGCATTCATGGGCAATCAATGCCCCATCTAATATATGTCTATCTGTAACAAAAGCACCCTGTGGCAGGAATATTACTTGAGTTAAAACTTCTTGGAGTCTTGACCTTAAGACCTTCACAACAATTGTTTATACACTACCAAGCAAGTTGATAGGTCTTACGTCATTGATGTCTTTCACTCTTTTTGTCCGACTGGCCTTGAGACATTGAAGTCGCCACTGATGTACCATGAGAAGTTAATGGGCTGTTACTACATCATGAAGCTCTTTCCAAAACTTCTCTTTCTAATGGTCTAATGGTTCATTGGGGGAAGGGTCAAGAAGGAAGGTTTGCAAGTGTCAATATCTTGGAAATACCCAATTGGAACTTGCATCGCTTCCTTTAGGAAATTGGTTTTGGGTACTTGGGGTTCTCTTGAGGAGTGGAGGATGCTCAATTTATTTCAATTAGTCTTGCATAGATATCAGTGAATTTCATTGGTTTTATCCAAATCGTTTTATGAACAGATCGAAAATCAGGCTAATGTCAATGCCCTTACTGTCCAAATGGCAAAAATTCCCTTATGCACCGCTATAAACGATTGTATGCATCTTTCTTCAAAAACTTCATGTATCTCGACACTTTCTTTCATTGTCTTTCATAACGTATGATTTAACTCATGTTGGGGTTTCTATGAGTCAGCGGACTCATTTGTACACGTCCCCCCTCTAAAATCCAATTCATGTTAAAAATGGATTTTATATCTTATTTTTTTAGTTATCCATGATCTAGGCCATGGTGATCCCGAATATGAAAAAAAAAACAAAATTTTAAATTGAAACTGTGTTTTTGTTTTGTTTTTTTTTGACCTTTTCTCCATGGTCTAGTTCATATTTTAGGCCGGTGCACTTTTCATAATGTCCAACTCAAAGATGGACAACGATTACTTCTTCAGATTTGCGTGAACTAGTTAACCAATCACAAAGAGGGATGCTCCGTAACGCATGGACAAACCTTTTTGGAACTGGTGAGGAATGGATGCCACTATCTCAGCTTGGATCCTGCCAGTCTTTTTCATGTGCCATTCCGAAAGTTGTACCTTGTCTTGAGGTGCCTTTGGCTTTCTTGCAAAAGAAAGCCACGACTAAGACAATGAGTGACTAATTGAGTCCATAACTGTAGTAAACTCTGGAGCATTGCCGGTTTGCTTTCATGAAGTAAGGTTATGAAACAAAGCAAAGCCTTCATTACTTGAAAGCTAAGCCGCTTTTCGCTTAGTAAGCGGTGTTAGCTTCACTTAGATTGAGATCGAGCAGCAGAGTACCCCGGATTGCCTTTGCAAATCTGGTATTCCATGTGACTGCACCCTTCATAGAGGAAGGGAGAAAACTTTTTCTATAACCATTTTGTACTGCAGCTATAATTGTTTTGCATCTGATTTCTGGTTAATTTTAATGGAGATTCCTGATATGTTTTTTCTTTTTTGTCAATTTCAGAAGTGGCAGGGTATATGGAGATGGATAATGGTTCTGACTCTGAATATACTGAAACATATCAGGTATTTTGGGGCATTAGTGTTTGCTCTCTTTCAGCTGATGCCCAATAGTTGGGAAAAGGCTCTGATGATGATGATGATGATGAGTGTTAGACTCTCTCCTTTTCTTCTTATAGAGATGGCAATTAATTAGGAATGTTATGTCAGTTTGCGTGGAGCAACCAAGTGGACTATAACCCTAGAAAACCAAGACATGAGATCAGAGACTAAAGAAATGACCATTGACTTTCAAAAAAGAAAGAATCTGTTTTTTGTTTTTTTTGGGTGCATAGAAAGGCAGAATCAAATCTGTGCTTTTTTTGTTTACTGAAATTGAAGTGTTTGTGCTTTTCTTGTTTATTTTTTGGATGTTTGAGCCATATTCTATTGTCTCCATTTGTCTTAGATGCCAGGAGAAGGAGCAAGAATTTCTTCAACTCCATCTGCTGAGGAAGTTCAAGCCATGGGCAATGAAGCAGCGCCTGAGTTCATGATGAACCAGGGAATATATTATCCTGCTACTAGCTTTTACGGATACTATTGTACAGGTATTCTCTCTTTGGTTGATGCTTGATCATGCTGTTTTTCTTTGACTTTTTTTTTGGTATTCCCTGTTATATATTGTTTGAGTACTTTCTAGATTCTGATGAAGATTGATAATTCATTTATTATGTATGTAAAGTTATATTGTTAAGGCCTGTTTGGATGTACTCGTTATCATTGATAATTCATTGTTTCAATACAATTAATCCTGATAATGAATTTTCTTTTGTTTGGCAGTGTCCGTCATAAAGTTATATGAGATGAACTTATAGGCAGTTTTACATATATGTTTATTGTTTTGGAAAGCTGCTTTTACTCTATTCAAAGAAATTTGCTGAAAATTACTTGTTTTTAGTCAGAAATAACAAAAAAGTAGATGGAAATCAATAAAACGGTTAAATAATTAAACAATATTACGCAAAGTATACTAATTTTAGAGAAGATAGTATACCCTAGATAAAATTGATTGTCATCCAAACTGCCCCTTATATTACAAACCAAAAGCAAATTGATTTACAAATTTTAACTATATGACTCATAAAAAAAAAGAAATATAACTATATGATTCTGTTTTTTGTTTGCAGGATTTGAAGCACCTGGAGAATGGGATGACCATAGTAGGTTTTTAGGAGTAGATGGTCAAGATCATCATTATCCTGTGAGTCTCACTAATATCCGTCATCTTCTTACATATATATATATATATATATATATATATTTACACAGTTGGAGTTCACTTCTTGGGTTTGGGCATCAAGACATGTGGCATTGAGGAATCTTATTGAAACTGAACTGGCCTAGCTTGTTATTGCTTGTTTGACGACATTCAGGTTGAAGCAGTCTCGAAGCTGGTATGAATTTCTGGATAAACCATGACATGGGCCTAACTTTGGATGACCCATTTTGTTGGGTTGGCCTTTCTTGTTACCAGACAAGCTGTTTCACCCGCTTCTTCTTTTATAAAGTACTTCTGTGCTTAATTAATGAGTCAGTATGTGGATAAGATTCATAGCTAGTTACTATGAAAAATGTCCTATTTATGCATCTCATAGAACTTTAAGTTTTGTTACTGTCGCATCTGCTGCGTAACACTCAAGATTTTTTTCCTCTTCCCATATTATGGTTCTCCTTATTGAAAAGAATATATGGTACTCTCATCAAGATAGCTAAGCTAGTTTAGTGCTGTTTTTTGTATGATCCTGTCAGATCCAGCAGGTTTATCCTGTTTGGGTCGCCCTGTTCAGATGAAATCAGTGGAGTTCCAAATCCATTTTGTCATTTTCTCTGGTTTTAACACATTGGCATGGAAACTGTTTCTCTCATTTTTTTTTTTTTTGAAGTTATAAGTGGTTCTCTATGACAATGTTCTTTTGGTTTATGATTTCCATTTTAGCTAGGCTGAAGCGATTTTCTCATGTACATATTGTTTCTTTCTATTGATTTCTTTATTCTTCTTTTGTAGGATTTTCAAACTGAAGGTTCTTATGTATATTATGCACCGACATATGGATATGCACAGTCTGCTTACAACCCTTACAACCCCTACATACCTGGTGCTACTGTTGTTGGAGTAGACAATCTTCTTATTGGATCTCAACCATATTACCCTGGACTTGTTTACCCACCAGCATCAGGTTACTTCCCTTCTATTCTACTCCCTGCACAAGATGCCCTGCCTGCTACTCCTCCAGAGGTCATGCCTCTGGTTGTGGACTCTGTAGATGTTAGTAGAATGACAGATGAGGCTAATCGCCCTAGACCAACTCCTGCTAGTTCAATGACAAAGCATTCCTCTGAGACTACTGGGAATGGAGATTCTCATACGGGTTCTTCTCATGTCTCTAAAATTTCGTCTCAGAAGCGATCAGAAGTGTTGCAAATGAATGTGGCTTCAGCTGGTCAACCTTCACCACAGAAGGTTACATCTTCAACTAGCTCTCCTGCCCCAGCTCCTGGTAGCCAGGTATGTAAAATATGATTTCATGTAATGAGAAACTTACCGATTGAGTTCTTAATATTAGTAGTTTTTCCAAAATTTGACTGAATAAGTATTTCAATTTTCGGAGGAAAGTTTTCATTTTTAGGACTGAAATTTTTGCTGGAGTTTGTTGTCAAATTAATGGAAATTTTATAGAAGGCTTAGGACAAAATGCCTAACATGTGGATGTTAGTTGTTTACTTGTGGAACTGAATTTCTTCTATTATTAGCTGAAATATGAGAACTTGAAACGCAATGAAAATAGTCAGACTCATATCAGGATATAACCATTTGAATATGGATTTGGTTGATTTGCAGGGAATGCATTCTCCAGTTCTAGTTCAAGCGAAGGATGAGTACCTACATGGGAAAATCTTGCCATTTTCAGAGCCTGGAAATGTCACTTCATCTTTTAAAGATGAAATGGTTGGCTTAAAGTCTCATGGACATGGATGGGTTAATGTCGATAAGCTTAAGCCTAGGATGCACTTCATTGGAAATAGAGGCAATGGAAATGGGACTTCAGATGCATTGATTGAACAGAATCGGGGGCCTCGGATCAACAGGGTGGGGAACCAAGTGACATTGGTTAGATCTCCTGCAAATCTAGCTGGAACCAGTCATGGCCAGGATAGTATTGTACATAACACTGACCAATATAACAGAGCCAACTTTCCTGTTAAGTACAGTGATGCTAAGTTTTTTGTTATAAAATCTTATAGTGAGGATGATGTGCATAAAAGTATAAAGTATCATGTTTGGTCAAGCACTCCTAGTGGTAACAACAGGTTGAATACCGCTTTTGAAGATGCTCAAAGGCGTTCTGGAGGCAAGCCTGGAAGCTGCCCTGTGTTCCTCTTCTTCTCTGTAAGTGACTGCAATCTGTTTGTCAACTTAGAGAGACCGGGGTTTCTTATTTTTGAAGAGTGTGATATTTTTTCGCATACATGACCATTGAATTTGTGTTAACAGGTTAATGCAAGTGGACAGTTCTGTGGTGTCGCTGAGATGGTTGGCAGTGTTGATTTTCAGAAGGATATGGATTTCTGGCAGCAAGACAAATGGAGTGGTTGCTTCCCTGTTAAGTGGCATTTCGTAAAGGATGTGCCAAACTCTTACTTCCGTCACATTATTTTGGAAAATAATGAGAACAAACCAGTGACCAATAGTAGGGACACACAAGAGGTACTTATTTTCATATACTTATTACTTTGTACTTCTTTTAAAACTGTCTCATTATTTTGGGACACACAAGTGGTACTTATTTTCATATGCTTATTACCTTGTACTTCTTTCTAAACTGTCTTGTTATTTTAAAATTATATATGTGCTATATGCTTGTGTTAAATAAGGTGAGTTGTGTTTATTTTGCAGTCTATACCAATTAATACATGCTTGTGACATTGTAATTAGTTTATAAATGTTTTGGTTCATTTTGAGATAGGATGGTAGACATCAAAGTTATGTTTTTTCGCACTTACAAGCTACCAGAAGTAAATTTCCAAGCAGCATGACCAGGTTTCATCCGAGATGAATAAAGTTGTCTGTCTATCAGTAACTCAACTTCAATTAAAAGTTCAAAACATTAATGCAAAGTACAGTGTGAATAACCATCAAAAGATAAAGAAAGGCCTGCTAGTGACATATATTTGATACTTCACAATAAGACAGTCCCCCTTTGAACTCACAAAGCACATCAGCCTCCTTGTGGACCTCTTCTGAAACATGTGCAAAGGAGACTGATCTCATATAGAGAATATTTAAATGAATATAAATGAAAAATACAATTTTCCAGTTAAAGTTCTGCATTTTTTGTATCTATGCAATTGCTATAATGGTGCTATAGCAATTATAATTTTTGGAATAACTAAACAAGAGCTATTTCATTATACAGTATATTGTAAAATCATAAAAAAAAACAATACAATGTGACCTATTCCTCATAGAATTTGATGGGCAATGATACAATGCAAATACGCCACCAAACAGTCATAATAAACAATATTTAGTTAATTAGCTGTGGAGTACTTACTTTTCCAACAAAATCTGCTAACATCTTGAAATGTTGGCAGTCGAAAAACATCAGTCGTGAATGAGGGGCACTAGACTAGTCTTGTACAAACCATCTGTCATGGAACTCCTTGCCACTCTTGACTTTTTATCTCCCGTCTCTGCATGCATGTGTCATGCTCGTTCTCCATCATCATGGACTGTCATTGCTTTTCTTTCCTTATTTGTATTTTATTTCTTTGAGCTAGATAAATATTTGTTGCCATCTGATTACTCATGGATAAGATGGCTTCATTTGCAGGCCATCTATCCTTTACATCAAACTTCTTCTCGTCATTGATTAATTGTAGCTTCATGATTTTCTTTTTCAAATTGTGAAGTGAAAAATGAGTCAACCATGAATGTTTGGCAGTATGAAAGAGATCCTTTTTATTAGTTTAATGTGAAGAAATAGTGTTCCGTGATTGAGGTTCTGTATTGATCTAGAGAAAGCTTATGATAGAGTACCTCGAGATTTGATTTGGCGGGTGTCGGAAAAGAAAGGAGTTTCCAGACATTACATCGACTTGGTGAGAGATGTACGATGGAGCACTAACTAGTGTACGAACAACTAGTGGAGAGACGAGTGGGTTTTCAGTGACAATAGGTGTACATTAATAGTCAGCATTGAGCCCATGCCTCTTTGTCTTATTTATGGACAACTTAACTAGGCACCTACAGGATGAGATATAGTGGTGCATGTTGTTCGCAAATGATATAGTTTTGATCGATGAGTCCCGAAACAACGTCAACGCAAAGTTAAAACTTTGGAGGGATGCTCTAGAATCCAAAGGTTTTAAAATCAGTAGGACTAGGACAGAGTATATGGAATGCACGTTTAGTAATAATAGGAGTAGAGACGAGGAAATAGTTAAGATTAACGATCAGGAAGTACAAAAAAGACCGTACTTTCAATATCTTGGGTTGATAATCTAGGAAAATGAAGAGATCGAGGAAGATTTATTACACAGAATTAGAGCTGGGAGGGCGAAGTGAAGATGCGCAACTGGAATTTTATGCGATCGCTGCATACCAATGAAGCCAAAGGCCAAGTTTTATATAACAACTGTGAGACCGACTTTGCTATATGGGGTTGAATGTTGGGCAGACAAAAAACAATATATCCATAGAATGAGTGTAGCGGAGATGAGGATGTTGAGATGGATGAGTGGCAAGACAAGAAGGGATAGAAATTGAAATGAATCCATTCAGGAGAAATTAGGTGTGGCAACAATAGGCAATAAGATGACTTAGGTGGGCTGGCCATGTGTGGCGCCGACCAAGTACAACATCTGTTAGGAGATGCGACTTAGTTCAAGTAGAAGGACTTAAAAGGACAAGGGGTAGGCCCAAAAGGATGTGGTTGGAAGTAGTTTGGAAAGATATGGGATCTTATGGCCTCACTGAGGGTATGGCGTTTAATAGAACCAAATGGCGGACTAGGATTTGTGTAGCTGACCGCAATTAAATGGGAAAAGGCTATGATGATGATGATGATTGTGGTTCTATATTCCCCTATGTGGGGCAATGGGCCCTATAACTCCTAGAGTTCGACAATTGAACTTTGCAATGAATCGTTACAGATCGTTAGTGAGTGCTTCGCTATTTGGTATCAGTTTGTTTACATAAAGATCCTAAAGCGTTAGCTACCACTGTGCAACTTCTATTTCTTAAAAAGACCTGAAGCCTTGACATAAAGGCATCAAGGGTATTATTTAGGATATAGGAGAATAAGAGGCGTGAAATTTAGAAAGCGTATCAAATAATGGGTCCATAGATTTGTGGGGAAAGATGTCCGTGAGTTTCAAAGTCTTGAAAGCAACTAGTGTATCTATTAACAAGTTCTACAATATATTTTTTGGAGGTTGTTAATAGTGGGAATTTTTTTGTAGGAAATTTAACAAGATAATCATGAGGCTCTGAGATGGGTTGGTTTACCTTGGAAGCGAGAGAGTTGGATTACTGAGGCTCATTTATCTCATAATTCCACATTCACTTTTGATTGGAGTGGTGACTTATTTTCATGAATCCAAATAAAGTCATCTTCAAAAATTGTGCTTTTAGGAATTTATTGTCTTGGAGTAGTTTCTAGGCTGCCGAGTGCCACTAGTGACAAAATCAAACTCCAATTGATTAGTACCATGATATCAGCAATTTTGTCTCTAAAGATACCAACAAACCACTATTGAACAACGAGTCAAACGCCCAAACCATAACCTAAAATTGGAACTGCTCTGATAACATAGTCTCCGAGCCATGCTTCAAATTGTTGATTCATTGCCAGAGATGTCTTAGCTCCAATAGTTCATTATCCAATGGATCTTTCCATTCAAATATGCCATTTGAGAGTTATCATTATTTATAAAATCTGTTCCTATTTAGCGGAATTCTATTGGATCAAATGACAAAGACATTGTTGAGAAAGAGATGGCTTTTCTTGGATGAAATGAAACATTTGATTCATATAACAGGAGAAAGATTTCCCATTGCTTAGACGGAGAGAAACAATTTGTGGCAATGAAATAGGGATTAAGTGGAATTGATTGGGTGGTAGAGTTGTGGAAACAATCGTTTATTCAGATTTTGGACTGTAGCTCGATGGAACAATATGCTATTGCTGAAACATGGAACAACTGTAATCTTAGGTGAAAACACTATATGGATGGTATGAACTACCTGAACAAGAATTCATGAATGGCGAACAACCATAACCTATTACTCACTACCTCAAACAACAAGTGCCCCATTAGCTGGTGAGACTCCAGCTGGTCCAAATTCAAATTCAAATTCAAAATTGAATACAAATCCAAATTTGAATTCAAATTTATTAAAATCCCATTTGGTTTGTTTACCATCAATTGTCCATTCAAGCCTTACCATATCCAATGGATGCCTTCGAGCCTCTTGTATCAAACCTAACAAGCCTCCATGTCTTGGTAGGGCATGTACCCGCCAGTTGCCTCCATGAAGCCAAAACACCTTTCCCACTCACTTCCTCGCCCTTGCACCTATCCCCCACAGTTCTAGACACGAAAGGGCCACGGTACCCATACATTCAGCATTCCATTTGTTACCCCTCTAGAAAGCACTCAAATGTTTGCCGAAGCCACTCAATCGCTGTTACTCAACTGCTGGCCCTAAAGTTCGTACAACCTCCACTGACCCACCGATACCCCCCTTCCTTCTCCCCGGTAAGGGAAAAAAGAACAGAAAAAAAAGCCTCTTATCCTTTACTATCAACCAAATACCACCATATGACTCTTCAACTGGCCCCATCTAATAGATTGCCCAAGCAAGTCTCCATATCCATTCAATTCAATCTCCAAAAACTGTATCTGGCCTTTACCCCATCTAATTCCCTTAACCCTCATCACCTTAATGCTTGCATGCCTCCCCTCTCCAAGTCTGCAACCCCTTAAAACCCCTCCCATCTTGCTTCTCCTATCTTTCCATTCAACAAAAACTCACCCTTCTCTACTCTTGCAATCTAGTTTCTACTCGCTCCTACTTTTCAACTTTGACTTCCTCCAATCATCTGGTTCTCTGTCACGAGCAATTCCCTCTAGTCTTTCATTTCCTTTGCTGTCCAAAAAAAATTCGCAAGGCTTGCCTCTTAGCATCCACCAAAACACAGACCCCTGGCCCAGAAAAGGGCTCTTTCAACCATTCTACCTTTCCCTTTTTCGAGAAGAAAGATGCATCAAACACTTGCAGTCCACATCCTCATCCCATGTTGCTACTCGTTTCTCTCCTTTGGTATCGTTCCTTTTCTCCTCTCGTTCTCCTAATCCCTTGACCTTGGGCACCCTTCCTTGGGAACCTCAAAATACTGTGGAGGTTTCCCTGCCTCTAGAGCCCCCAAACTTTAGCTAATACCTTTTCTAATGTAGAGGACTTCTTTCCATCTTTGGACGCAGAATCCTACCTTTCGTGGACTCCAAAGAAATTAAAAGGATTTCAATGGAAAAGGCAATACTGATTCAGATGATATAGGTCTAGTCCATGAAGGCTACATCAACAACATCACCGATGCTGTCAGAGCCTGTGCCACCCAAGGCCTCCCAAACTTCAACAAAGGGCCAAAGGAAAAGGGAGAGGTGACAGGGAGTTCAAGAGTTGGCTTGTGGATTCATTTC